ACCTTCTCAGGATGTCTGCCTCGCCATGTATTGGTGTCATGTGTAAGCTGTTCTGTTTTGACCATTTGTGTTTTGGCTTTTGGCCATTTGTGTTTTGGCCTCAACGTTCTTTAATGAACCTGCATGGGATCCTGTCTAAATCTGCAGTGTTGAATCTCATGAACACATTAAATAAATTATTATATATTATGAAATACAAATACACATTATATATTATGAACACATTAAAACCGATATGGCATGTATGAATGATTATACCCTTTTGATCATGGAGATCAAATCAGTCTTATCCTTACCGGAGAAGTAGTGATATGAATGCTTTTATGCCCTTTTGATCATGGAGATCAAGCCAGCCTTACCCTTACTGGAGAAGTAGTGAAATGTTGGTTTGTAACCGGGATGGTTTGTTTGTAGTGAGAGGGGGATTTGTAATAAGGATTTCAAGGTTTTTAGGATTCTTGAAAGAATTTGATATTCTGACAGCGTTGTGGCAAAGGTTAATTTTTTGCTCCTCCTTGCTTGTGTGAAAAGAATGGGATTATATAATAGAAATTGGAGAGCAAAAAATGGGCTTTAAATGTGTAATTGAGCCTCAAATGTCCACTTGAGTCTGTCACATTCTAGGCAAAATCGCAGGGGCTTAAGTGTAATTTTTGAAGTTGAAATATGAAAACAAAATGTAGCCGACATCGAGAACTAACTCATGTCCGAAAATGGGCTCAATCGGATAAACAGTGAATTAGTTATGAATTTTTGAAATTTCAGCTAAGACAAACTTATTTTGGGCTCCAGTGTCGACTCTGACACGTTCTTCAATAAAAAACTGGTATTGATCGGAGCATAATTCAGTCTCTACTTTTGAAGTAAAGTTTTAGATCTCTGAGTCAGTGACCTTGTGTAAAAAGATGGGCCCAATCCGATAAAAGTTGACCGAGTTATGAATTTTTGAAGTTTCGACCCAGATAAAATAATATTCAGCATTCAGGATTTTCGGCGCGTCACGCGTACTCTGAGCAACAAATAAAGACCTTTTGGATATCGTTTGAACTCGATACCTTCTGTGAAAACTTAGCCAACTCAATTTATGAAATTTTGGCGCTGGAACCAGCTTGATACGATGAAAATCGACCAAGTTATGATTTTCTGAACATGACGCAATTAAATTTCTGTCACAAATTTTCTGTACGAAAATACTTAATAAATCCGCATTTTTGAAGACCTTCTGATCGAAATTGACTTCCAGCCGTGAGAGATGAAAACATAGATGACATTAATACGGAATTTTAGCCACTGGAACGGGTTCAAAAAGAGCCACGATCTTCAAGTTATGAATTTTTTAACGCGTAAAAACTGCACTTTCAGCACACTTTTTCACCATATTTCTTCGAGAAAACTCACACATTCGGATACCTTTTTTAAAGAATTGACTCTTGAGCCGAACCTGAATTTGAGAATATGTTATCAGAGATATCTTGGGGAAAGAACACCTGAATATGACGCGCCGGGATGGACTTGTGAATCTTTGAACCCCGAATCGTTGCAAAACGGCGAACCGATCTTCAACATAGAAAATACTCTGAGAATATCCATTGACGAAATAAACGTCACTTGTAACCTGAAGAAGCTTGATAAATATACCTTTATTTCATAACCATAAAACCAATAATATACGTGTATGAAAAGAGGGCAAATTTTGAGGTACAACACTTTGATCTTTGAGTTTTGAGGAAATAAATATGGGGAGAGCAGTTTCCCACAGATGGTGTCACTGATTTTACCGGTTGATCAGAATATGCGAAGCGGTCGAATGATGATCTGTAGTCGGGCTGTGATGTCAAGGAGGAAAAAAAGGGTTGTACGTGCAAGGCACTCCGACGATCAAGTAAAAGTGAGAACAAAGAGATACAAGCAAAGTGTTAAGATATTGGTAGTGAATAGTGAATATTTGATATCTGGCCCTCACAAGTGTGAGAGCATATAATATACCCCTGGCGTATGACTATTGGTTCCTGTTTTTGCGCTTGGATATGTGGGTTCACAAAATCAGGTAACTGTCAAGACTTGGTCAAATCGAGAAGATATGCTCGTAACTAGTCGTTGGTTCTGAGGAGGAGGCAAGTTACAGGCATCTCTCTGGTCGGTTCCTAGTGACCTGTACGACTTGATGTCGGGCAGACTGAGGGGTACTCATCGATCATCCTAGGTCAGTGCTGGCTCAGGAGGGTAAATGATCGATATTTCCTGACGGGGAGCGGGGCGGTTCGGGCCATGGACGTGCAGGCCTTACCGAAAGAAAGGGTTAGACTGAGTCCATTCTAGATGTCGGGTCAGTCCAGAACATAGTTCAACATTCTTTAAATTCGTTTTACGTACTGATCACCAAAGTTAGTGATTGAGAGAAAATGAGAGAGGTTCTCATATTTAGGAGGAGTCTTAAATAGAAAGTCACATGTAGTATTAAGAAGAGAGACATTAACAAAGGTTGTTAATCTAAGACTATTTATACTAATACTATTGAGAGTGAATTTCCTTTCTTGGGTTAGAAGTCCCCCCAAATATAGGTGACGTTGCACCGAACTAGGTTAATAATAATTCTTTGTGTTCTTTATTGCTTTATGATTTATTTAGTATCTATTAATCTGTTATAAGAATGTTATACACATCGTCACAAACATTGTGTCTAACATCTTTCATACGAATAACAAAATTTCACTCATGAAAGCACTTCGCTCATACACTACTCATCTTTGAGTGGTTATATATATGCTTGATTTCTTGATATACTTATGAAAGCCCTTTCCAATTATACAACTCATCTTTGGGAGACCGTGTACATGTTAAGTTTCTTGACATACTTTATGAAAATACTCCACCCTTACATGGCTCATGCTTGGGGCGTCGTGTACATTGATTTATTAATATGCCTTATGAAATTAGTTCGCTGAAAATACTTCACCCTTACCCAAGTCATGTTTAAAAAGTCAAATACATGTCTAATTTCTTGATATATCTTATGAAAATACTTCACCCTTACACTACTCATACTTAAAAGAATGTGTGCGTGTGTGGTTTCTTGTTATAAATTTTAACATAAAAATCAAATATATTTTTGTGAAAGATATTTTTAAAAGTAAAAAAACTAATAATTTTTGATTTAACGTTGTTTTCTACAAAAATATCTTTTCAACAAGTTATATCGACAAGGTAAAACATGGTTAAAAAATTTATAAAAAAGCAATTTTAATAAAAAAAATAAAAAAAATGACATACTTTTCAGAAATTTAACTGTTTATTGAGCAAGAAACAATCAAGGGCGAAGAAACGGCTGAAAAACGCTTCGCTATTTCACTATAGTCCCAAAAACTGAAGAACGACGCATCATTTTCAGGGATCATCAAAACACGCAACAGTATTAGAAATCGCGAAAGATCAAAAGTTAAAGGCATTGCAAATTTCACCGCGTCCGTGAAGATCGAAACATGGACGACGAATTGCTCGAGTTGCAGAGACAGTTCGAGTTCGCTCAACAAGCGAAGTCCAGTATTTGATTATCCGATCGAAACGTCGTTGAATTAGTCCAGAAATTGCAGCAACTTCAAGTCATCGATTTCGAGCTTCTTCACACTGCTTCCGGCAAAGAGTACATCACTCTCGTACGCTCTTTGCTTCGTCTTTTATTATTTTTTGCAATTGGGTTTAACGGATTTGATTCTTGATAATCGATTGTATTTTCTTGCTTTTAACCTAATTCATTGTGTTATAATTGATCTTAATCAAGTGTTTGTTTATACGGTCGATAGGATCAACTGAGAAATGAGATGGTGACTGAGGTGAAGAGATTAGGGCGAATTTCTGTGATTGATCTTGCTGATGTTACTGGAGTTGACTTGTACTATGTTGAGAAATTGGCTCAGAGTATTATAACTGATCACGGGGAATTGATGTTGACTCAAGGGGAAATCGTTACGGAATCTTACTGGGATTCGATTGCGGAAGAGATTAACGAGAGGCTTCAAGAATGTAGTCAGATTGCTTTGACGGAACTTGCTGCGCAATTGAATGTTGGTTTGGATTTGATTGCGTCTGTGTTGGAGCCGCGTCTTGGAACTATAGTGAGTTTTGTTTGTTTGTTTGTTTTGTTTTGTGTTGGTTTTGGTATGTTTTTGGAGTGGTAAGTGGAAATTGTGATTTGATAAATGATTGTTTTGAGAATAGGTTAAAGGAAGGCTTGAAGGTGGGCAGTTGTATACTCCTGCCTATGTTGCTCGTGTTAGTGCCATGGTTCGAGGTGCTGCTAGGGGCATTACAGTTCCGACAAATTTGACAGTGTTATGGAGCTCGTTGCAGAATTTACTGCAAGAAATGGATGGAGCCAGTGGTGTGGCTGTTGATGGATCTTTCTTCCAGTAGGTGAAATTTCAGGGTCTGTACGTGCTGGAGTGCATTGGACACCAGCTGTGAGTGACATGATTTTACATAGATTGGATATTTCTTTAATTGATGCCTGAATTTTATGGTTTTCATATTTGATTTAGGCATTTGGAGCTGTTCACTTCTTGTTACACATTATTGTTTAATTGTTTGATTGACAAAAATTGGGATAATTTCCAAATTCTTTTGCTATACTCCACCTCTAATTTATAACTCTATAATCCTTTTACTGTTAGTGTCTATAGGGGGCAGTGGCAGTACTAGTAGTCAACTGTTGTGGCATATGCATTGATGCCATTAACTTAGTTCCCATATTAATTATTTGAAGTTGTTTATTGTGTTTTTATGTCACATGATAGGTATTTGCTGTTGCTCAAAAGGAATCTGTGGATTCATTCTTTTCACAAGTATGAACTCTCTCTTCTATCGTTTTTCTCTTTTGCTTAAGATGCCAAACATTTCACCTAGT